TTTGGAAGCCGACCACAAGATGAGAAGCAAACAACGAGCATGAACGGAGGGAAGGAAAACCCTTTTTCGTTCATGTCGTTATGCATGGCGGCAGCTGGCATGCGAAGAGACGCACTCCTTCGACCGGCATATACCTGCACCCTCCACAGTCCAGACAGCAGCGTGTTTGGTTCTGGAAACACGTCCTTCTGTCTATAGAACCACCCCAACGTGTACCCCCCCCCCCCGGAAGGACACCACCATTTTAGCCTTGGCAATGTGAAGTGTCATGCTCTCTCTGTACCATTTAGCCACATCCCACCATATGTTCCATTCACTTCCCCTGCCAAGATTTTTTTCCAGGTACAGGGATCCAACCTGGCAACCCTACCCACTGTTTGTACTGTGTTAATACTGGGCCATGGGGGGATATGATGTGCCCCTTTCAAAGATGTCAGGGGGGGTGAGGGGCACCGTTGTCTCCAAACAGAAGCCATGATTTAACATAAACTACCGAGTCACCAAGAAGTCAGTCAGGAGGATTATGAATAAAAAGCTGAAAGCTCCTTTGATGCTCTGGTTTTTAAAGCAGTTAAAAACAAATACTTGCGAAGTCACACACCGCTAATAATCACGCTAAAAGGTCAGATGCGTGTTGGAAAGACAGGGCGACGTCACAGCAGCAGACATTGGGCCTTCCCTCCCCCCGCACTGACTCAAAGGCTCTCTCCATCACTCACTGGAAACCGGATTAGAATGAATATTGCTCCGAGGAACCGCAGGGCAAAAAACAAAAATGTTTCTGGCGCTCAAACGCAAAAAAAAAAACCCACAGTCGTAGGTAACAGAAAGAAAAAAAATCTGGGGTCTGAGGGAGTCTCTCGAAAACAGGTCTGGCGAGCGCGGGCCTTTTTTTTTTAATTTTTTTATAACTTGCATTGTTACGACCGTGTGTGAACTTTGTGGTTTGGAAAAAGCCAGCCCCCAGAACAGCGTGTGCCTTTGAAAACGCGCTCATGTTGGGTAATGGCGAAGAAAAAAAAAAGCGTGCTTAAAATCCCGTGATGCCGTCCTCTAACTGTCATTCTATGTCATGCATAGGTGTGTCTATGTGTGTGTGTGCGCGTGTTTTATACAAATCAAAAACAGCGTGAACGCACACATGCGTGCACCCCGGCGTAGGGAGCCACACTCTGGGAGGTCAGAGTGATCCAGCCATCTGCTGTTGCAATCAGACACTGAAGCGGTGGCCGGACACACACACACACGCACACACACACAGTATTCACGGCAAGTTCACACAAGCACACACACACCTCCGGCACACATTAACCAAATATACACGTGCTGTCCTCAAAACAGACACACATATTTTTGAAAGGGCTGGCTGCCAACGCACAAGCGAGCACAGGCGTTGTATTCGCGCGCGCACACACACACAGTCGTCAGGCTCAGATTGCAGGAAGCTCTTTGCACGCAGCTCAGTCCGCAGCAGCCGGTACTAATCAGCACAATCCACCTGCAGATCGTTATGGATCGCTTACTGCAACTCACACACAAACACACGGACGCGCGCGTGCACTCACTTACACGCAAAACTTGCCCGAAAGCTCACTATAGCACGCATCTCGGTCACGTCCACACGTACAATCAATAGATCTATACTTGAACACACACTTTTAGAAAGCCCTCACGTTGCTGATTATTTGTTGTTCACGGCAGTCTGACAATCACCCGCCATTCCAGGAAAATGTTTACTGGAAGTCATTGCGTGTTACGACAGTCCACGGTGACTTTATAGTGAGCGTATCAATTGTTTTAAATCCATTAATTTTTTTCTAATCTAAAATCGCTTTTTAAGGTTCACGCGAGGACTTTGGAAATGCCTCGATGCGCGCTGCTGAAATGGCAACACAGCGGCGCTTGTCTCTCCGTGTCACACAAATACGAAATAGCACGCGCACGCAAATCCCCCCCTCCATCCCCCACCGGTGTTGTAGGGCTAACCGGTTCCCCACAGGCGCGCCACGCTGCGTTAGCGCGGCCTCACCGGGGATAATTACAGCCTGGCGCGGCAGGGCGAGCGTGGCTCCGAGCCAAACACTGCTGCTGCTCGCGAGAGAGGGAGGGAGAGAGATTATTGGAGCAGTGAGAGACATAGACCTATAGATTAAAACCTAATCAATAGGCTGCTAAATTCGTCGATGCAATCAATCAGTGGGCCCGTGACATAAAGTAACCATCGCGATCAATCACACTTCTTAATTCTGACCTTGGGGATCATGGGTGCCCCCCCCCCCCCCTTTCTCACTCTCCAAAACGCGCGAACTAACAGCCGCGTCGTTTTTTTTAAAGAGAATAAAGATTAAAACCTTCAAACGAACCTTATCTGAGGGGAAGGAGAAACGGTGGCGGCTCTCAGCGCGCAGCACAAGAAAGATCCCCCCACCCTCCTCCTCCCCCTCCTCCCCCCGCCTCTCTCTCGTCTGTCGGCCTCTGTCGAGTTCCGCTCATAACCTCGCCACCCACCCTCCCAGTTCCCCGCCTCTCCCTGCTTTCCGCTGCTGGCGGGGAGCGCACACACATACACACATACACACACACACACTTTACACACAAACGAGGGAGACGCACACACCCACCTCTTTATAGCTCTCTCGCTCTGACACGCACCCACAAGCATGCACAGCCTTGCACGTACGCACACACACACACACACAGATGACACACACACAGAGGCAGGCAGCGTCAATAAAAAGCCCAGCGCTGTGAGAGGCCGCCGGCACTCAACTCCCCCCCACACTCCCCCCCTCCCTCCTGCCACTGCGATTAGCGGAGGCTGGCTGGCTGGGGAGAGGCGCCCCTCTGTTATCTGGGGCGGTGGCAGCCTGTGTGTGTTGAGAGAGCGAGAGAGAGAGAGAGAGAGCGAGAGACAGGAGAGGGAGAGATTAATTTAACTCTTTCGGGGCCGGATCGCAGCGCTTGAAGCTCCGCTCGCTTCTGCTCTCCGCTCAGCAGCAGCAGCACAGCCGAGCTGTTATGAGACAGGACGCAGGGGAAAGAGGGATAATGCACGCGATCCTCAAGAAGTAGCCGTCCAATAATTGAATTAAAAAATAATTGTTAATTGCTGCCATAATTTAGACCGTGATATAGAAATATTGGATTTAAAAAAAAACAAAAAAACTTTTGCTCTGAGTTTGGTTGGGGGAATGTTTTTGGTGCGTGTGGGGTTCTGCTGGGGGATGCATTTCTAAAATCCTGGGTATGTCCCTGAATGTAAGGCGATGGCTGCATTCGAGTAAGAATAAAAAGGTAACAATCTGTGCAGGAGCCATGAGTGAAGAGGAGCCCGAGGGACATTTTCAAACAATCGTTTATGTAAATGGTCAGAATGCTCTCATTTTAGAATTTGACACTTTGGTTTAACATTGCCACTTTTTTAGACACATGACTAAATTTATAGTTTAAGCATCCAAATCATTTTTTTAAAAATTCTTATTTAATCCACTGCTTCATCAGGTTGGTCTCAAGATAGACTTGAAACCAATTATGGTACTACACCACGCACGCCTTTAAAGGTCTTTGGAAACCGCAACATCATCACCACCCTAATATGTCGAGCTTTGAAAACTAGAATTTAGTTCTCACACGCGCGTGGTGTTTGCAATTACTCCATAGAGAAGCTTTGTCCAGCTCTAAAAGAATAAATAAAAATGAATCACAGATTCAAGGTCAGTGTCACGATGAGAGTGAGGAATCCAGAGAAGTCCAGAGAATCTTTTCATTAAATCCATAGTGCAATAATGGAAACTACAGATACTTTGGTGTTGGTTTGCACACTGGTAATGGGTTGAAACAGATATGGGATAAATTCCAGTTACCATTCATTGAATGTTGTGGTGTTGTGTAATTGCCCGCTCACTGATTGGCCAGACTAACCTGTTTGAGGGGGCCCAGAGGCAACAATTGGAGCTGAGCCACTCTACAGTCTTTTGGGGGAAGAACAATAGTTATTTGGGAATAATAGTTATACATTTTGTTTCTGCAGAGGCCCTGAATTCAATGAAATGATAATGTATGGTAAGGCTGCATCCCTGATTTTCTTATTGTCAACAAACCCAATAGTTGTTTAAAAACCCACTGAAGAGCCACACGTTTCTTCAATGAACACGACCACTGTGGTTCATTTGGAGTCCAACCCACACACACATCCTGCTACATGGCTCAACAGGGCACCAAATGTGGATTCATCCACAACTGAAAATAGTCCCAGACAAATGCAAGATTTACTTCTGTTTAGTAAGGTTTGCTAAATACTACACGTGCCCAATTGTTTTTTTCAATTACTGAGCCTTTAAAAAAAATTTACTTTACATTTATTTTCGAGCTAAACATTAATTTTAGTATTCAGTACAAAGTGCCACAGTCAGAGAATGGAAGTTGGAAGATCCTGAAAGATGAACACGTTGTTGGTTTTAGTCTTCCACAAGATTTGTTGACGATAGGAAAAGTGTAGAGTAAGTGCAGACTTTTGAGGCTGCAGCACGTGGGCTGCATCTTAAATCTCTGAAAAAACATTTACGTTTTGGGTAATACAAAATTTGTTTCAGCAGCCTATTCGCATCTTACGCCACTTCTTTACGTCTATACATCTCACCCAAAATACGGCTGTTCCGCACATTCTTGCAGACCTGTAAATCTCCCGTTCAGAACCTGCAGCCAGAGAGAAATGGCTAATTAAAACATTCGACGTATAAAAGGGCTAAACGCGAGAACTTCCAGTCAATTATTTATACTTTTAAGGCTGCAATCTCCCCATTAACCTTCTCCAGCCTTATATTTAGTGCACGCGGCGGGTGAGCAGAGTTTAGGAGGGGGCTGTACCCCCCCCCCCCCGCCCCGCCCCGCCTGTAAACACTGCTCTGGGGGCTCTAATAGACAGCAGTCGAGGTTCCCGGTGGGAAGCCGCGCAGGGGGAGCGACAAACACCAATCCGGGCCTGCCTCGCTATCGCTCCGAGGCGACAGCTCCGGCTTGTTTTTCAGCCAGCGTCTGGGCTGCTGCTGTCGCCTCTCCCTCCCCCCTCTCCCCCCTCGCTCTCTCTCGCTCTCTCTCTTCCTCTCTCTGTGCGTCACAGCTAGGTCATGGCCGGACTCCAACAATGGCTCCGGTTTCTCGAGCCACATGCACGTGCGCAAACACACACACACACACGCGCGCGCACAGGCACACAAACACTGATCTGACAAATGATAGGGTGGCGAGGCGAGGCGAGCTAATAGCAGGCAGCGCGCCTGCCGACATGCCCGTGGGCCGCGGGGTGTTAAATTGTATCCAATTACGGCGCATGCGACGATATGAGAGAGGGGGGGGGGTGTAATAATTCTTCTTGCGTGACAGGGAGATTCGCTTATTTTTCCCGGGCTCTTTATGTGGAGACGGGCGCAGGGCTCGAGACGCTCGAGCTTCCGCGGAAGAGCCGCGTGGAGGGGGGAAAAGTCTAGCTTTTCTGGAGGACATGGCGCGCGTATTCCATTAATCAAAATCCAGTTAACCAGATTTGGAGACCCGGCGGGGGGGGGGGGGGGCAGCAGGGTCCGACCAATAATTAATATCCATTATTTAAGCAGCCCAGGTCTAAGAGGCGTCTTAAGCGCACGCGCACACACGCACACACACTCACTAACAGACACTTCGCAGGAGGCAGGGGAAGCTGCACGAGGGGGAATGAGGGATTGCATGAATGTGAAAATGAAATAAACACGCCCAGTCTCAGCTTTGTTATGAAATGTCTCTGCTGCTCATTTATTTGATGGGAGTGCACAGTCAAGTAAAATCAGCAACAGTGCCAAAAGAGGGGTAGGGGCATGGTGCACGTGAGCATATGTGTGTGTGTGATACAGTGGTGGGGGCTCTGTGAACTGCAAACGAAAGTTGCACTCTGGCGTTCACTGCCGCCCCGGCAGAAGAGCTCGGCAACTCAAGGGTAAAAAGGGGGTCAAGTGTCAGTTCATTAGTTCAACTTGTCAGAGGCAGCTGACAGGCGGCAGCTCGCGCCCCGACAGTGACGGAACCACCTCGACGTGTGTGAAAAAAACAACGGGCTGATGTGGAATATATAGCGACTCTATTATCCTGCCAATCACACCTCAGCTATATGCCCCCACCCGCTTCAGCGCCACGGACAAGGGCCACGAGGCAATGAACCGTCAGAGGCTGTTGCTTCGTCATCGTTTCCAAGAAGGCCCCGCGTGTCTGCGTCGACTAGTGAGATGTTTTTTTTTTAAGTTCATAGCTTCCATTGAATCTTCCTCGACTGTCTCCGTGAGAGCAGCAGGTTTTTGGACCAAACCTCACATTCCGGTCCGAGGCACGTACAAAAATAGAGCGTACACTATATATACATATGTACAGGTTGTTGATAAATACAGTGCAACAAACAAATGTAGTATTCCATAAAAAACAACAACAATACAAACAGTCTTTCAAAGTAATACTTGTGCGAAAAGTTGCAACAACAGTAATGTCATAAGATGAAACAAGGGAACACAGATACTGTCCGAGGAAGGAGAGACTGCTTTGGGACTAATTCGCCCCACCAAAGTCCTCTTCCTGTATTGCCACTGTACCCCCCACCCCCCCAAGAAAATTGATGCTTTCAACTTCTGACACACGAGGTCCTTTTAAAAGGCCCGTTTTTCACCCCCCGTAGAGAAGTGAAAAGGTAATTGCTGTGAATGCTAAACAAACACCTTGTTATGATTGCCTTTGAGCCATTCTTCATGTTTTCGTGGTATGCCAAAACGCTGCAGAATGCTGGAGTTGTTGTAGGACCTTTGGCTCTGCAGCAGACGCCTTTAACATCAGGAGGATCTTTAGAGCCGCTCCTCTCTCCTCATAGTGTTGCAGGGAGCTGCAGCTCTGCTCAGTATGTGTGTGTGTCTTTAGGATATTAAATAGTAAAGGATGGGGATTAATAATGGAACCTGACAGCTCATCTCCGCCTTCTATCTGCCCGACTGTCCCCCCAATCTTTTCCCTTCCACCCCCCCACACCTCTTGTTCCTCCCTCTCGGTTTCTAATCCGCTGCGTCTCTCTTCCTTCGGGCTTCCCTCCAGCTCTTTTCTCTCCCTCCCTCCCTCTCTCTCTCTCTCAGGGCCCTCTGTCTTTCAGGGTCATGTCAGGAGAGTAGAAGAGCACGTTGGTGTCATCGTCGTCGTCATCGCTGAGGTCGACCAGGTCAGCCTGTGTGTAGCGCACCGCCCCGGGGTGGTACTCTCCGATCCGAGTCCTGTCACACAGCCGCGACTGCAGAGCCAGCTGGAAAACAGGCACACACAAGCAGAGTTTGAAAACAAGACACGCTGTTTTGTACCGGAGTAAAGAGTGCGTTCACACAAAACCGGGTAATTTAGCCCCCCCCCCCCCCTTAGATCTGGCCATCCAGTCGCACTAAGCTGCCGTTTCACACACTCGAAGACGGTCTCCTGGGTTGATGCATGTGAAAACGACCGGCCGTTCACACATGCAGGAGGCGAGACAGGCTGCCGCTCACTTGTGAGCTGAACCTTTGAGTGACATCCTGGTGCTGCCGATTAAGACGCAAGAGATCAACCCGGAGAAGTCGAGAAAAGGTTCCACTTTATGCTGTAGTCGTCTGACACGCTTGTTTTTGACTCCCTCTGGAAACTGAAGCACAGTTGTTTTCATTTTCTACTCCACTCAACGACATGAAAGTACCGTACTTCAAACAAAATGGAGGAAAAGCGTGCTGTCACGGTCAATGGCACTCAATATGATGTAACTTCAGGGAACTATCGGGACTTGAATAAGAGGAAAAATTTGAACATGAACGGCTTTGTCGTGCACCAGTGGCCAATCAGAGCTCCAGTAATGATGTAATTCACATGCATGAGGGAAAAAAGGCTTGCAAGCCTCAGGCTCATGAGGGGGCCAGTATGCTCCGTCAGAACAGCGTATAGCCCGGGAGACCCCCCCCCCCACACACACACCCTTCTGACATCGTATTGGGGGGCACTGTGTCCCACCATTTATGCAACTTTTTGAAACAGACATCTACACCTCACTTTACGACCTCAGGTGAGAAATGAGCCAGAGTTTTAACTCCTCTCTCAAGCTATCTTTTTTTATTATTTACACAACAATTTCACTTCATGACTTACCATGAGAACAACCAAGTGCACCCCTGCAGCCCTTTTTGCAGAGAGATTCTGCAACTCTGCCATAAAGGAGACGCGCCATTATGTCGGCTTTGCTTTTTGACACTGAACCCACCAACGGCAGCATAATGTTCCCCCGGTGTGTGATTTAAGATAGCATGCTGGCATTAGGGACCGATCACACCGAGACGCCGCCCTAGAAACGCCTCGCCTGCAAAACCATTGTTTTCCTATGGCACGTTGCGCCTGGAGTGTGCTACGTTTTTCAGGCAGTTTTAGACACGCATAAAGTTTACATACATTTACCTTTTCAGTGCCAGACCATAGACTGTATATAAGAAGTGGACGTAGTCACCGTGACGTTTTGAACCCTCAAATTCGGCGATTTCGTCCTCGCCATCTTGGATTACGGCGGTCGCCGAGTTGTTGTTTTTTTGTAGCAACCAGTGAACGGAAGTGACCATATTTGGAATGCGGAGGAGTGACCTAGAGACGCTGTATACGGCTCTGGTAGCGTCAGCGACCTGTCAGTCACAGTAAGTCCGCCCTAAAGCATACTCTGCTTTATGGTCTGTTTGACTCTAAATGAACATCATGCTGTATTGAAGAAGACTTGAAACACAAATGTCCCGCCTTCACCAGGCGTGTGTGAAAGGTGCTTATTGATGAATTCCAGGAGAGACCGAGTCTGAAAATGTGCGCCGTCATCCTCGTATTTAATCAATATCGCCTCTACCCCCTCTTCATGACGGCCACTTTGTTACTCCGCCTTCGAGTGTGGCCATACGAAAAACACTTCCTACAAAGTGGTTCTCTTCTAGCATGACCCAACACTTGTGAGAGGAAAGAGAGAGTCTGCTACTTTGAGTTTGTGTATGTGTGAACTTGGCGTTATGGGGGGGTGGAGCATACTGATAACTTTAGGGTGATTTCCCACCTGTAGTCCAGTTCATTTGGTCTGGACCAAAGGGAAACACTAAACACTGTTGCATTTTAGTTCTGCTTGGGTTCCTGTTCACACTGACGTTTTACGAATGAACCAAGACGAGTTCACATGAAGTTGGGTGATTGGACAGTTCTGGTGATCGTCTTCCTGCATCATCAGGACTCTCAAGGGGAAATGACAGAAGTTCATGCAGCACTTTAATGCTTCTGATGAGGATATTTATATTTAGAGTCACAAAGACCTCACGTAGAAATAACTGATGATTAGCAGTATTGGTGTTATTAGACTGCAAATCGATCCGATGATGATGATGAATAATAACCAACAGGTAGAGACAACACTGTTCAAAAGCCCCTTCACATGCTCACAGATGACTGGTGTGAACGTCAGGGAGCGCACGGACACCAGGCGTCTGTACAGTAATGACTCAGGGCTGATGGCTGTGGGATCTCTGTCACACACTTGGACTTAATGGACAATAGACTTAATGAACTGACAAAGTACACAGAGTCGGATATAAGCACAGCTTTTAAACAGGGAAAATACCAGTGCTGACATGCACACCTGTTGATTTGCATAAATAGGTTTTGAAACTGCTGTCCGCCTCCTTAACAGGTGACTTTAATGACCCGCAAGGAAATCGCGAATTAATCGAGTTTGTTTGACAACAGGAACAGAATAATATCTGCACGAGAATAACCAAAGTGAATTTCTACTGTTTTCAAACACAGCAGGTGATCACAGAGAGTGAAAGAGGGCGGAATGTTGAAAGTAAAGAGTATCCAGGCTATCAACTACTCCTTAACACCAACGTATTATTTTACAATGATAAGTATATCTTACGATAAGTTACTCTGCATTTTTTGTGCGCTTTCCTGCGAACATGTGTCAATTTCCACTCGTTAAGCAGTCTTTTCAAAATTAACTTCCGTGGAGAGTGATCATCATACCTGCTAAGCATCGGCACAACAATTCATATATCTTACATAAAGTTACACATTTTTCGTGCGTTTTCCCAAGAAAGACAGCAACACGTGTCAATTTACCCTTGTTGCATGCATACGGTCTTTTCAAAATAAACCTCCGCCTTTACGGGAAACAGCACAGGTAGGTTTAGGCAACAATACTTCTTGGTTAGGTTGAGGAAAAGACCTCAGAATAAATGTACGTTGAGTGACTTCTCTTTTCACATGGGTCTCCTGGCTGAAAGATAAGTGTTTGTTGGACCCACCCACCTCCTGTCCCTCCCGCCCTGCGTGGGCTTTTGCGTTCTTAATATTTCCTTGTTCATGTTCACGATTCCGACGATAACATACAAAATGATTTCCGTGAATTACGGCGCATATTTTTCGTAAGGTATAGCTCGGAACGCTGGATGAGAACAGCCTGCCTGGTACACGACAGCTGTGAGGCACAGTGTGAATGTTTACTGGCCGAAAAAGGACCCCAAAGAAACGATCTTTACAAAAAACGACCTGCGGCGACATGTTGTTTACACACAACATTTTTTTTTTTTAATGAGCTGGCTCGGCGAGGACGTACTCTAAGACTGCAGCGACAGTGAGACCTGTGGGGATTGGGAGCAGCTTTTTCCTGCATGCATACACACACACAGATGAAGAAGACGACGGAGAAGAAGAAGTGAGCTCATTGCAGAGCTACAGGCGGTTCGAGCTGCATGGCTTGAATGCAGATCAATATCAGGGAAGGAAAAGAGTGGAAGAAGAGGGGGGGGGGTACACAGGTGGGAGGCAGACGCAACACAAAGGAGAGCGGCAGAAATAATGTAAGAGAGATAAATGCCAGAGATGCTGTAACAGGGTGAAGGGAACAGCAGAGGCATGGGAACACACACACATACAGTACAGAGAGATAGAGATAGCAGAGTCGAAGACTGCGAGGAAGAGAGGGGAAAAAACAACGGAGGACTAGAAAAGAGCGAGAGACACGAGGCAGAGAGACAGCATGCACACGAGACTCCAGAAATCTGGTTTTCACGGGTGATTAGGCGAGGTGAGCAATCAGAGGAGGTGAGTTTAGTTTAAGTTGTAGTTGCAGACTGCTGAGGGCTTTTTAGCACAGGAACAAGAAGGGGTGGGAGTCTTTGGTTTGATGTAGAGTTTCACAATTCAATACATAGCAAAGAGGCAGTATTGTTTGGACTCTTTCTCCAAACACTCACGTTTGCAGTCTGCTAAATCGTAGTTTGAAACATAAAGCAGTTAAGCGAAATGGTCCTAAAGAAGGTCACTGTCTGACCAAACAGAAAAAGCAGGCGTGTGGGAGTATAAAGCTTTTCTTTTTTTATTTGAAAAAAAGTTAGATTTTGACAAAATGCTGCATGTCTTCTGGCTGAATGACAATAAAGAGATGAAAACCAATGTGTATGCTCTTCTCTAGAAGCACAGGTCGGTCTATGTGTTTCGGGGTGCTCTGCTGTGCTTATTTTATCATTACATCTCAATCAGCAGAGAACACCCGGGTCATGGGCGGGGGGGGGGTTCTTTTGCCCTAACCAATCGGTCGTTCGTGATGTTTCCATTCCGCCAATGTCATTTTCAATTACCAGCTGAACCGTTCACTGGACGTATATCACAACATAAAAAATGACAGGGATATAGGTTATTCTGTAAGAATTTACAGGAGTATGTACAGCTACGTCGCCCTAATTCTTATTCCCATTTTAAATCCCATTTTTAATCCCGTATACAAAACTCTGGCTGGTCGACTGTTTCTCCAACCGCAGGTTAACAGTTGTTAGATGGCAGCTCATCTCCGCCTTCTTGTTCACGCCAAACCTGTTTGAGTCACTGAACACATACATATTTGGCTACACGCGCAGGTCTTAAAATGAAATAGAATAGAAATATCAAATTAACTCCATAGACTAGACCAAGGGACAAACAACTGCGACCCCCACTTCCCCCGCCCTCACTGAGTTCGGCTACAACATGAGCCTTCGTTTTTTAGCCTGCATTTGTTTACATTTAGGAAAATTGGCAACATTAAAGGCACAATGGTTATAAATTGTAGACACAACAGTCAAAGTTAGCCCCTCCTCTTCCGCTTAACGAGGGTTACGGTGCTCGCCAACACCGTTTACGCAGCTTCCTCTTGGATGCGTGTTCACGATCTGGCACTCGATCGTAAGATCGATCGATCGCAAAATGAAAATAAAAGAGAAAACCCAATACAGACACCGCCACACACTTCTAGTGGGACACTAATCTCTACAAACAGGTTGATCTGTTCGTACACGCCGTCCCTCAACTCCAACCCAAACCTCGCATGTCAAGTTGCTAATCGCGCTGTAAAAACCGAGAAGCCTGCAAAAAAATGAAATCTTGGCGCGGATATCTGCTGGCTGCACCAGAACCCCAGAAATAAAGCCCCGATGTCAGACTGATAGCTGGTGGGTTCAGAGATTGTTGGGTCATAAATGATGATTGAGATGGATTATTTTTGTATGAGTCTATAGCTAGTTTTCAAAGAAAATCCTACTCTTACCTTTAAAAGTATTTGCCAAATAAGCTATTTGTAGTGTTTGTTTGCAATGGACACACAGAAAACTACAAACAAAATGAATCAACTAAATATTATAAACTAAATAAACTATAACCAGAACACCTTGAGACTAAAGAGAACTCTCAGGCAAGTTCTGGAGCTACTGGAGCGTCTTTTTCTGTCATTTCTAAGCAGATTTATGGATTCAACTTCCCATCGGTTGCAGAACGCCGGCATGCACCCGTCCCTTTCACCTCATGCAGTATCTTTGCCTCACGTCTCTCCCTCAGTGCCTCCCTTTCAACTCTCACATGCCCTGTACGGGATCACAACAACTTAAAGTGGTGCAGTGTGTGTCGGTTGACCGGCTCATAGTTCGTTAGCTCACTGCTGTAAGTCTTTGAGTTTTGGCACACAAAGCATTCACAAAATACTTCACCTTATTCTTGTAAATACTAGTATTTAAACTATTAAATCCAAAATGCTTGTCGGCATTTCACGATGCCCTAAATTCACAGTTTCTCCCTTTTCAGTTATCCCAATATAGCGGGGAGAAACACACGCTATTAACGACGTGAAGTAAGAATCAGAATCACAGAAGAAAAGGATTCTGATTAAAAGGAACAAAAAATGGATTTTGTCTCTTATTTCTCACGCTGTTGTCACATCAGGAGGGAATCCTTTAATGGTGAGTACGATGAGGACGGACCGTCAACTCATTTAACGTACACAAGGCATACGAGCAGTGTATTAAGACCCAAGCCGATCCCTTTAAACGCATGTAAATGCACCGCAGGCAAACAGCAGGAGAGACGGAGAGAGGCAGACAGCCAGTGAGTGAGCTGGAGGAGGCAGGCTTAGGAAGGGTGGGTGGTATCTGGTACCAAAGTGCAGATTTGTTGCGTTGAGGGAGGAATGCTTTGACGCTGTTCCCCCCCCTCCCCCCTCCCTTCTCTCTCTCTCACCCCTCCTCTCCTCCGCCAATCTCGCACCTGATGTGTGGGGGCTGCTGGGAGCCGCATGCCAAGATGAATAACAACCGGCTGTTAGTCACGATAGAGCACGAACACGCGCGCGCCGCCCGTCTCTCTCGCTCTCTCTCTGTCGTCGTCTTCTTTCTCGCCTTCTCTCTCTCTCTCTCTCTGACACACACACACAAATAGCATTTTCTCTGTGATTTACAAACACATTGAGATTCCACTTCACTCCTCTGTCTCCTCGTGTGTGTGTCTCTCTCCCCCCCCGACTCGCCACAGTGCAACATTGACATTTGGGTTGAAGGTCATACCACACATTCTTCCATGTTGCGCTCGTGACCCGTTATCAGCGTGGTTGGTGAAACTGAGTAGGTGACAATACGTGTGTGTGTCCGCGTGAACTAAGGCCACGGGGACTTTTTTTTTCTCTTTGTGGTTCAATATCAGCTGTGGCTCATATCCGCAGATGCTGCCTGTGTTTGTGGATTGAGACAAATCTGTGGAGAATTGTATTGATTGTGGTGTTTATTGAAATGCAAAAAAAAAGGCCTTCATTACATTTTCCTAAAAGACTTAAGGATGTGTAATTTCACTCTTTAAATAAGGGGATTTTGGTATCAGACCCGACAGTTATTCCCTGTGTAGGTGATTCGTGAACACCTGTGACGGATGGTAGCAGACAACTTGGAAAGTTTAGTACGCTAATTACAAACTCTGAAGCGAGGAACTGGGAAGATGTTGAAATTAGAGTGAGTTTTTGTGGGGTTAGCACATCGGTTAACTTCAATTTATATGAGTATAAAGGTTGCTTGGCCTCTTTCTTCTAAGATAGTGATCATGAAATACAAATGGTTTGATCTACATGTATTCTAAATATATCAAGTTTCCGACCACATATAGAACTACGGTTAACCATCTGTGGGGCATTTTTGCTTGGCAAATTTCTACTGCTTATCAAGTGTGTTGCCTATTCATGTTCAGTCAATCGACTGACTCCATGTTTTGGCCGTTCATCAGTATGAAATTGTTGCAGCTACTACTGACACCACCGGTTGCTGGTTAGTGCAGCGCCACCAGGAGTTCCGGAGTGGTATATACTGTGCAGAGCGAGGAGGAACACACAGCCCTCGTTTGTTTTTTTTTTGCCGACGACAGATGGACAGATGGTAATATGATGGAATCTGTGGCATCGCTGATAGGAATGCAACGGATCATAAATCTCACGGATCAGGTTGTATCACAGTTGTGAGTCAGGGATCCGATCCGATCATAAGAAAAAGGGGAACAAATATAATTTTCAGAGATGCCCCGATTATGTTTTTGTGCTGCCGATACCAATTGCAGATTGCTGATGATCCATATTGGCCGATACAGATCATTAATCTTGTGTATAGCAGCTGGTCTACAAGGCTCCAGACTATTGTTCCCTAAAATCATTTCAACCGCTCCGATTGGTGTAAATCATCTGAAATTCAAAATGTTAGCCTTTTACTTCGTTATAATCACCTATAGGTGTTATTTACATTGGAACAGATAGAAGATTACAATTTTCATTGATGTAAAAAATCTTGGAATTAGCAATTTCAATGATGTATCACAAACTGCTAAGAGCTAGGGCTCCCGTCGATTTAAAAAACATACGAATCACAGGTTTGGTCAGTTACATCGCTAATTGGTGGCTGCATCTATATATTAAAGTTATTGCCCTTTAGCTAGCAATGTGGCTCTAGATATTCATATCTGCAGATGATGAATCCCAATGACTCCGGATTACCTGGGCTTCCTTGTAGCGCCCCCGTGAGGCGTGAACGATTGGCTAGATTGCCATTCAATTTAATACCGATATACATGGGGACAGGTACCCAGAGGATGAAGCCTTGTGACTTTTGCAAACCCCTGACTTTTCCCCTGGCGCCACCTTGAGGCTGGCCTTTTGGTTTTGACTAAAGTGACTCGACAACTATTGGATGGATCGCCAGCAAATGTGGCAGACATTCATATCTCTCTCAGGTTGGATTGTAATAACGTCGGTGTTCTCTGACTTTTTAGCATCACCATCAATTCTGATTTATGATCAAATACTTGCAGAACTAATGACATTCCCATCAGTCTCAGCTGTACTTTGTGTTTAGTGCTAATTAGCCATTTTCCATCTGAGATAAGTGTGTTAGCTTGCTAACTAAGATGGAAAATTAGCTGATCATTATACCTGCTAAGCATCAGCACGTTAGCAATGTCCTTGTGCAACGTATCCCCGTTCGTATATCTTACATAAAGTTCATCCTTATTTTCCATGCGTTTTTCCCAAGAAAGACAGCAACACGTGTCAATTTCCGCTTGTTACATGTGTATGGTCATTTCAGAATAAACCTCCGCCTTCACAGGAAACAATTCAGCTAGGTTTAGGCAACAAAACAACTTCATTAGGTTTAGGAAAAGATCGTTGTTCGGGTTAAAATAACTACGGACATATCTCACATATCATCAACACATATCTCCATAATGTAAATGGAAGTGTTACGGAAAAGTAACCAGGTCCGAAAAATTACTTGGTGACGTATTCAGACGTCAATCAATAAGTGAAATTCCAAACACATTCACAGAGTGTTCCGCATGTCTGGACGGGCAAGTGTGTTTCAGCTGCTGTACCTGCATGCCAGTGAGGCTCAGTAGGCTCCACCAATCCCTATCCAGGCCGAAGACAAACGCGTTGGCCAGGCCGTGGAGCGGTGCCGACAGGACGTGCAACAGGGTGAGCGGGAAGGACGGATCCTGTGGGTAGAAGGCATTATGGAGCCTGGTAGAGGGGGGAAGAGAGAGACAGAAGCATCATTCATAGAGTTCATCCATAAAACAGTTGTAAGTAAAGAGACAACCTGCGTGAGAGCTTCACAGGTGAGGATGGAGTAATTGATGGAGAAGTCAGAACGAGCAGAAAGGCAGCAACGGCAAAAAAAAGAAAGAGAAAAAAAACACGGGGAAAGACGGCGAGCGAGATGTTGATCGACAGAATGCCAGAGAAGAGGGAGGAAGAGAGGGAGAGGACAAGTGAGTGACAGACTGAGGGACAGGGTGAGAACGGGGAGGTAATGATGGCGAGCGGCAAAGGCAGGAAAAGAGAGGGGGAGAGAGAGAGATGGAGAGGGAAAAGGGGAGGGCGAAAGAGCGGGCGAGCTTTATATCAGCGTTTAAGAGCCCATTAGGCAGCGTGAGACGGCCGGGCTGACACATTCTTGGCTGCCACCTCGACAGCACGCAGCACTTTACAAGGACAGGGAGAAGTGTAGCGCTCAACTCCCCTTCCTCTGCTTCTCTCTCTCTCATCTCAGCTTCCTGCTTTTCCTGACCACAATTTTTCGTCGTTCCATCCACTCCTTTTTTATTCCGTGCACGTCTCCCCCCCAACACACACACACACACACACACACACACACACACACACACACACACA